ACATGGCCATCAAGATGGTTCAGCAGGTAAAGGCACTTACCAACAAGTCTGACAATCTAAGCTCTATACCTGCCTACATGGTAGGAGAGAACTGACTCCCATGAATTGTTCTCTGACCTCTTACACACGCCATGGCACATAGGTGCACACACAAACATACACACATGCTTAAAAAATGTCATAAAATTTTTAAAAATCAAGTTATTATGCATTAGGGCTTTTAAACTTTTGATAAGTCCATCACGTTTAGTCTTCCATTATTCAGAATATATTTACTCTGTCCCAGAATTTCAGTGATCTACAAATGAAGTGGTATCTGATAAACTGTTTTGACAGTGTGTAAGGCAATCAAGCACTGAGAGCACTCGGCTTCTGACTATTGATGTTCATTTATTCCACATTTCAAAAGATGCCCTCCACATTTTTATTTTTATTGAGACAGAATCTCTTACTAGCCTGGAACTTGCCAAGGCCAAGTAGGCTGGGCGGGCTGGCTGGCTAGCAAGCCCCAGGGATCCACTTGTCTCCTCCTATTCAGTACTGGAATTATAAGTGAGTACTACTATGTCCAGCCAAAACTGAAACTCATACCCTTGCTTACTTTTACCAACTGAGTGATCTCCCCAACCCCCTCGAATCACTTTTCTATTCATCATATGTAATGATCAGTAGTCAATAAAAAAATACTGCATGGAAGAGAAAACAGAACATAGAAAGCAAAAGGAGAGCTGACAAAAGTCCCAAAAGACATTCAGTTAATACAGTTATTGACACAAATTTTCAAATTAGGCTTGACATATTCAGAAACTGTTAAAAATTGAATATTCAATGAAAAACTGAAAAGTACAAAAAAACCTCAAATAGACATTGTAGAACTGAAGAATTCAATGGGTGACTTTTAAAAGTGAGAGCAGAATGAAAAGTCATGAACTAGAAGGTGGGTCAGATGAAAATACTAAGAGAAAGCATGGATGGAAGTGGAAAAGGAAGACTGCAAAGAGGCAGAGGGAACAAAGCGAGAAAGTCAGCAGCTTAAAGCTAGAATTCCAGAGAATGAAAATGAGACAAAAGTAGTATGTAAAGAGAAAAAGTCTAAGAAATTTCTGAAGAGGATGAAAGATTATACTATAAATTTAATGTTTTTTAAAAAATTTATTTTTATTTTTTGTGTATGAGTATATTGCCTGCATGTGTATAAGGGCACCCATGTCCTGCAATGCCCATGGAGATCTGAGGGGGTGTCGGATTTCACTGGAACTGGAGTTACAGACTGTTAGCCACCATGTGGGTGCTGGGAATCAAATCCGTGTCCTCTGCAAGAGCAGTCGGTGCTCTTAACCACTAAGCCATATCTCCAGTTTCTATAAATTTAAGGTTTTACAAATGTCAAGAAAGCTAAACAAAAAGGAAAACACACTAAGGTACAGCATAGCTGCTGGAAATTAAGTACTTGAAGTATGAATTTTCACTGATGTCAGTTTTAAAGACACCTATAATTCACTGAAAGTGAGCACATAAACGGTAAGAGTTCATGAACTGCGAAAGTTTGAGCCAAACAACGGGTCAATATGTTTCTCAAAGTCAGTAACCCCAAAATATACCAGTATTTTGAATAAGAACTAATTTGAAGCTTAAGAATTCTCTGTATCAGCACTACCTAGTGGTATAGACTATTATCCCAGCTGCCTAGGAAGCTGAAGCAGGAGAAGCCCAAGGTTTGGGGGCAGCGTGGGTTATGAAGTTCAAGGCAGCCCAGGAACTTAAAACTGTCTCGAAATAAAAAAATAAAAAGAGCACAGGGATATGGTTTAGTGGTAGAGCTCATGCCTGGCATGAGGCAAGGCCTTAGGCTCAATCCAGAATACCAAACACATATACACACATAGACCCAGACAGAATTCTATGTATCCGAATAAGATGTTCTAGTCAACTGAATGATAAAAAAAAAACAAGTGATTGTTATACTATCATAAAAACTTCAAAATAGCATTCACGAACTAACCAGGATCAGGATAAAGTCAGCTCCTAAAAACCCCAAAGAATAAGGAGAACTGATCATTTATATTATTTCTTTTATGAACATTTGTATGTGGGGTGGCAGAGGGCATGAATACCACAGCATACATGTGGGAGGTCAGAGGACAACTTACAGGCATCCATTCTCTCCTTCCATCGTGTGGCTCCTACAAACTTCATGCAGGTGACCAGGCTTGGTGGCAGGCACCTTTACCAGATGAGCCATCTCATCAGTTCCCAACCATTTTAATAAAACAAACACCCTTTTAAGGACTACAAAGTATTTAACAAATATGAAACATTATGATTGCTTTTCTAGTAATAATAATTCAGCAGATTTTGCTGTCTGCAAAGAGCTCACAGTTCTAATGTATGTGTTTTTAGTCTAAGTCAAAACTATGCTTCTCAAAATGTAATGTAGAAAACGAGAGACGGCTCAGACTGCTCTTGCAGAGGACTGGGGTTCGAGTCCCAGCACCCACATGGCAGCTAACAAACG